AGTCATCTGTTTAATCTGGGCTACCTGCCCGGTATTTATGCAGGTCTTCCACCAGGTGGACACTCCCATAGGGGACCTGGTGGAAGACTGGGACACAAATTGTACACTGACCAATAGAAACAGTTTAACAGTAAACACTCCCACATGCACATTGTAATCCCTCCTCTCTATCCTGGAGATGATTGGGAAGTAACTCAATTATCTCCAAGGATAGAGGCTAAACTCCATTACACACATGGCAGTAAAAAGACATAAAAATATACAATGTTGAAAATACTGCATAAAACATATACATTCAACATATCCCCAGATAGCTTAGATCTGAGCGCTCATTATTACCGAATGGCGCTCAGATCACATACATACAGTTCAATCGCCATGGAGCCAAAGTCTTTCACATAGTCTTTCGTTATATGAATAGCTCCATGGCATAGCTATCTGGGGTAACACTGTTCATACATTAAAATACCGAATGGACCGGCATTTGCATAAATTACTAATTGCAGGAGAAGGGAGGTCGGCAGCTCAGCGGTGTTCATGAATATACTGTCCGTTTTCAGTTCCATGGTTTTGTAGCTGAACACCGCTGGCCGTTCGGCAATTTAAGATGGCAGCTGCCACGTGTTCGGCTATACAAACAACGGCCACCCAGCATTCATCAATTAAGCTGCAGTTAACCGCAGCTTCTGGGAGGTAAATTACTGGCACACTCCATACCCAGGTGGTCCGGTCATTCGTCTGTTTGTTCGGTAGATTTAATCTACCGAACGCCCAGGCAGAAAGGCACAAACAAGCCTTTCTGCAGGGGAAAATCAAGCTTTTTAACACGGGGCCATAGTCCAGAAGCAGGCAGGCAACCAGGCTTCTCCAGAACATAGTGGCGAGGTTGGTTTCGCCACAGTTATAATAGGTCACAGCTTATTCCAAGGAGAAATCCGATTACCAAACAACCGAGAGACTTCTTTTCTCTTTATGAAACAATAGTAGGTTATGATAGCTTTAGTGTACCTATAATCTTAATTTTATTAATAACAGGAGGCGAATATTTGCTTAAGTCTCTCTTTACTAGAACTCCACAGCAGCACATTAACACAGAGAAAAAAACAACCAAACAGAAAAAAGTTAGGTACACTAAAAGTCTCCTTCCCACATATAACTTCCTCTTTCAAGCTGCGACAAAACAGAACAAAAGGCAGAAAACCAATGCAGAGAAACCAAACAGATGCAATAATTTGAATGGCACTGGCAGGTTTGCAAAAGAAAAACTGTCATCAGTACTTGAACATTGCTGTGGAAGGCGGCGTCTCAGATCGTCCAAGGGTCGCCCGTCTATGTGGTCACGCCAACCGATCTCCAACCCCAAGGTGTGCATCTGAGTCCACGATAAAGATCGGGACAGGACCGAACGGAGCCTTCCATTCCCCTAGATCTACGAAGCGGGTGGTCTCATCCGAGAAATAAATCTAACACGCGGGCTAGTGTGCAGAGGGGCACTTGGTCACACCCTAGATGTCTCTGGTACTCGAAGCAGATTGAGAGGAACCCATGACCGTGGTAGACAAAAACTCATAAGGGCGCATCAATCCAGAATCCCCAAAACCCTACACGAGGGGCAAGGTGAGGCCCGATGTCCTTGGTAGACTGCGAAGCCTCGAGATACGAACAAGGTGGTCGTAAGAAGATGTTGAGATTTTTGTCTAAAGGCATCGTTGCAGAAGAGCAATAAGAAGCCCGGAACCATGAGGTAATGGGAACCTTTAACCGAAGATGAGCTGTCACTGGTCGTAGCTGCTTGGTGGAACACAAAGGGTCGAATTTGGGCCGAAGGGTAGACAGGTGGACTTGGTGTGGCCTGTCGTTCCACAGGGAGTGTAGCAAGCATTGGCAAGTGGCACAGGAGCGTGCGGAATCCGGAGGTATAGGGCAGTATGCAAGTTTATCCAACTTCTTTCGAACCAGAAAGATGGAGCTGTAAAAGAAATTCCCCGGTGTCCAGTGAGAAACTGAATTGGTCCTTGTCGAACGGGGTCTGGGTTTGGGTGTCTACCAGTTGGGCTGTAATCTGTATAGGGAGAGAGTGGAGTAGTCCGAATTTCTGGATGTACTACCCTGCTGTTGTTCAGCCCTGCCAAAAGGAGGGCCTGATGGAACGCTTGTCACACGGAAGATAGTGCATAATTGAGTGAGGTATATAAGTCCGTGTGTTTGCAAACTTCTGAAGAATGTTACTCTCAAGAATAGGCCCTAGGTCAAGGGACCCAATTCTACAAACTTGAGGTCTGAAAGCTTGGCATCTATACGAAGGAATACCACCTATCTTCGTTCAATGCACCGTGACATTTTAGTGTTGCTTGTTATGCCTATAGAACAAAAGGCTCCTTCTATAATGACAGGCCAAACCAAGGGAGGGTTTTGCGAAAGGACTTCATCCGCCAGACGCAGGATCCGTGCCAGAGTTTGAGAATGTTGGATAGCTTGACCTGCGCCAGACTCAGTTCTTGAACAATACCCCAGCAAAAGGTCATGTCCCGACCTTGCAAAGTCAGTGTCGATCCTGATATCGAACTCTGGAGTTATTGCCACCAAATCGAGTAGAGATGGCCTGGGGTACAAAGCTCATAATCATTCATGCGCTTCCTGGTTTTTTGATCTCTGAGACGCCCAATGGGCCTAATAGGCAGGGGCCAGCTTTCAATTACATGAGGTGTCGAAAAGAATGCGGATCTAACATGGGTATTCATATTGAATCCACAAAGCTGTCATTGTCGGTACCTGGATCAGGCGGGTGAGTGGAAGAGAAATCCAGGACGGCTTCCGTGAAAGATTCATGTACAGAGGGAGAGTCCTCCACAACTGAAGCTTGCTCTCTGTCTTCGTCTTCGGAGGCTTTAGAGGTACTCCCGCCATTCATCCAAAAATTGCTAATGGCTAGGGAATGCAGTACTGACCCGGGATTCAAGTCTTTCCTCGCGCTTAGCACGTACCATGTACTTTCAGATCTGTGGTTGTAGGTCTACCCCGTTCCAGTAGTGCCTGCGAGATAGTGCATGTCTGCTTTGAAAGCGTCAGAATCTCCTGCTTCCTCCGATAGGAGAAACTGCCGGAGGGTGTTGTCCATAATGGCATAAATAATAATAGCTTTGTGAGATTGCCTGCTCGAAACAATGCAGATTATAAAATAGTAGATATATCTGTAATAACTGGGGCTCACCCAGTAAGAGTAAAAACCTCCAGGAGTATATCCAGTATGGTGGAATAATGACACAGACAAAGCGAAAAAATCATAGGAGATGTAACAGTGACAGCCAAGTCAAACAGCCCATACTCTGCCCGATACGGCACCAGGGAAAGTGAGAATTTGATGGGAGGTTTTCATGAGGGGGTCACCTATTAATAAGCAATCAGGTCCTGTTCTGGTAAAAACCTGTAAGACTCATGTATTATCTCATTCAGCACCAATGGGAATAACACCCATGGCGTACAAACAAAGTTGATGTATCTTCATGCTATACGTACCACACCTATCGGGCCTGATAACTTGCACATAAGCATCCACAGGCATTAATAGCACCACACTGTTTGACCTACAAATAGTTAAGCCTGTATCTCTCGCAATATAATCGTTTATTCAATAAAAATGTGCGGTACCATCACATGCCATGCGATTGTCTGTCTATGTCTTGAAAGGCTTGCGCTAGCTTTTGTGGCATGGCAAGAATGTTTGCAAAATCTATGCACAGCCAAAATAAAGAATTAAAAAAACCAAAAAACCTGTAAAACAAACGAAGGCTGACAGTAACCAAGATAAATATCCACATAGGTAGGAGATGTGCTCGCCCTCGAAAAGGGAAATCAGTATCCAGTACTGCAGTAAACTGTAACGTAAACAGTAAACTGATGGGAAACAGTATAAATATACGTACTGGGCTGTGTATATGACATATCTAATGACATATCTGTATCAAATCAGCATGGAGCAGAGTAATGAGAGGGGCTCACCCTCTAATAGATAAATTAGAATTAATATCAGCAGCGGGCTGTGTTTATGAGAGGGCCGCACCCTCCAATGTAATTAGTCTCCATGTCAGCATCAGGCTGAATTTACGAGAGGGCCTCACCCTCTAATAATGTAATTGATATCCATATCAGCGTCCGGCTGATTTTATGAGAGGGGTGTCAGGATTACTAGTTGATCCAGCACGTAGAATTGTGTCACACAGATGACTAATAGGTAATGTATTACTGGCCCTTAGAATGGCCGGACTTAACGTACCAAAGAGTAGTCAGGATACTTGCCGAGGTCAGGGGATACAGAAAGAGCCACAATGATAAGGGAAAGCCAGAAGTCAGGGATACCAGAATACAGGAAAGTCAAAATCAAAAACCAGAAGAAACTTGAATCAGGAACGCGCTCTCGGACAACCACTAGGGAAACCACGACAGGGCACTGAGCAGGATGAGAACTGGGCTTAAATACCCCTCCTCTAGATCTGGTAGGCTGTAACCGGCCTTTGACCCCCAAAAGCAGTTACCAGGTTCCCATTTGCATAATTGCTGCTCAGCATTAACCCTTCTGTGGATTTGGTTGCTGCTCGGCACAACTTTTCCTGTGTGGACAGTAAATGCCATTAACCACATTTTTATAAATGGGATGAATACGTGACAAGGGGCTCACCCTCTAATAATGTAGTTAGTAACAATATCAGCGTTGAGCGGAGTATGAGAGAAATTAGCATCGATATTAGTAGTGGGCTGAATTTACGAGAGGGCAGCACCCTCTAATAATGTAATACTAGTCTTACCAGCCTCAGGCTGAGTTTATGAAGGGGCTCACCCTCTAACAATGATATTAGTATCAATATCAGCGTTGGGCTGCGTAAAGGAGAGGGGCTAACCCTCTAGTGGTGAAATCATAGTAAATATCAGCATCGGGTTGAGATCATGAGAGGGAGTCACCCTCCAATACTAGGTTCAGTATATGCATAGCAATAACCTGTAACCTAATAAAAGTAAACATTGCTGCCGGGATCTCGCATAAGTGCACGGGATCCAAGATGGCTGCCGGTAATGAAGAGGCGCTGGAGACGTTCTCCGCTGTCCTCAAAAGCCTGGGAATAGGAGGAGGCTAGAGGTGCGGCCTCTCGATGTCCAGGAGGAAATACCGAAAGACACAAAACAAATAAACAATAGAGAAACTAAAATACATAAGAGGAAAGGAAACATGATGGACAGGAAGAAAAAACAAGGTAAGCAAAAAAAATATAATAAATAAGTATACCAAACTATATAAAACAAGGGTAGTAGGCTATGCAGCTACAGACAGACATAAAAAAAACGTAGAAAAATTATAAAAAAATGGGAACTAGAGAAACACTGTGCCGGGATGGCACGCCAAGGCATAAGGAGTAGTACACAAAGGCTACATGAGAAGGCCCTAACCTGGCAGGGGCAGGAAAGAATCCTGTCCCTGGAGGAGTGAATGTAGAGAAACAGATCTACACGTGGGTAAGGTAATGCAGAAAAAATAAAGGAAGACTCCAGACTATAAAGATACTGCAGCATAAAAAGCTAGTAGAGAAAGAAACCTACCTGTGCCTTGGAGCCCGCTCCCGGCTCACGCGACGTCCCTTCGTCCTATGTGGGGAGACCCAAGGGCCTCACTTACCATGGAGAAAGATGCCCAGCTGGTGGAGGGACAGTAAAGTACCCATGCTCTCTACCTCTGTTCCGGACGCATACAGGCCGCAGCAAATGCCGGCTGCGACTCGGATGAGTCGTGCAAGTTGGGTCGGTAGTAGAGAGAGGCTCCAGTCATCGGGATCTTGCGCTATAGCACGAGGTCCAAGGAAGCTGCAAGCAAACACGCGGGACTCCCGTCTCGGTGCTTGGGAGGTCGGGGGAGGCAGCTAAGAGACTCCCGAGCAGCTCTCGAGACTCCCGAGCAGCTAAAACCCTCAACCGGGAAAAGTAATGAGGAAAAGAATAGATGGAGCAAAAAGTGGAATAGTCATGCCAAAGAACCCCAGTGAGGTCCAGTGGCAGTAACAGGAAACAGAATATGGCAGGGGGGAAAAACAGAATATATAAAGACAAAAAAGCCAATCCCTCTAATGTAAACAACAAGCAATCTTGAAACAGACTGAATAAAATAAGGTAAGATAAAGTAAAATGACATTCCACCTGACCTGTACTGATATGGAGCAGCAAAGAAAGAGGAAGTTATGTGTGTGGAGGGGAGTTTTATTGTACCTAACTTTTTCTGATTCGTTGTTTTTTTCTCTATGTTAATGTGCTGCTGTGGAGTAAAGAGAGACTTAAGCAAATATGAAGCCTCCTGTCATGTTATAAAATTGGAATGGTGAGGTTTTCTCTCTCTTTCCGATCAACTGCAGAAACAGATGTGTGACAGGTTAAACTTGATGAATTTGAGTCTTTTTTCAACCTAGATTACTATGTTACTTTAATAAACTTCTCAGTGATTATAAACATGGAGAAAGCAAATATGCCTATTGTATCATTTTACAAGATTCTTGTGAGTCAGATAAAACATAGAAGCATGGATTGTTACTGGAAGACTCACACTTACCTAGAAATATGTCATATGTAACTCCTGCCTTAAAGGGACACTATGATCACCAGAACAACTACAGCTTAATATAGTTCTGATGTGCATACAGTCTGTCTCTGCAGGCTTTTTAATTCAGAAAAAAAGTGTTTACATTGCTGCCTTGTTACACCTCTAGTAGCAGTCACTCAGACGGTCACTAGAGGTGCTTCCTGGGTCAGTACTACACAATGTGCAGCACTGACGTTCAGCGTCTTCGTGCATGGAGGTGCTGAACTTTCCCCATAGCGATCCCTTGAATTAATGCATCTCTATGAGATGCTGTTTGCCGCAGCTAGGCTTTCACAGCTATAGTGACAGGAATACATGTATACAAGTTCCTTTAAATGTTATCTATGTTTAAATATTATCTGTCACAACATTAAAACCACAGACAGATAAAGTGAATAACATTGATTATATCATTACAATGGCACCTATCAAGGGGTGGGATATAATAGGCAGCAAGTGAAAAGTCAATTCCCAAATGTCACGTGTTGAAAGCAGGAAACATGGGCAAGCAAAAAGATCTGAGAGCCAAATAGTGATGACTAGACGACTGGGTCAAAACATCTCCAAAACAGCAACTCTTGTGGGGTGTTCCTGGTATGCAGTGGTTAGTACCTACCAAAAGAGGTGCAAGGAAGGACACCCATCATGGGTGCTCAAGGCTCATTGATCCATGTGGGGAGAGAAGCCCATCAGGTCCAATAACACAGAAGTTCTACTGTAGCTCAAATTGCTGAAAAACGTACTGCTAGCCATGATAGAAAGGTGTAGCAGCAGACCAGTCAGAGTGCCCATGATGACCCCTGTACACCGTTATAAGCAACTTCAATAGGGATGTGAGTGTCAGAGCTGGACCATGGAGTATATAAGGTCTTTTAGATCAGGTGGATGGCTGGGTGTGTGTGCATTGTTTACCTGGGGAAGAGATGGCAGCAGGATGTGAAGTAGTAAGGATGTTACTTTGACACATACCACCTACCTAGAGATTGTTGCAGACCATGTACACCCCTTCATGGCCATGGTGTTCCCTGATGACAGTGGCCTCTTTCAGCAGGATAATGCCCCCTGCCACACTTGAATGAATCTTGTTCTTGAATGGTTTGAAAAATATGACAAAGAGTTCAAGGTGGCGCCTGACTTCCGGTGAAGATGGCAGCACTTTGCTAGAGGTCTGCTCAAGCAGGTGACACAACAGTGCACAAGAGCAGTCTAACCTACCTGATCTTCACTCCAAGAGGTACAAGAGCACAGCCTCCACAACGCCCGTATGATAGACCATGGGCGGAAGTAGGAAATCGAGGCACAACTCCACCGTTGCCCTGTTCTTTAGCACCTTCGGGGAACGGGAAACACCACTCTGAGTCCGAGTCGAAGACCAGCGACCACAGCCGCTCACAGGATTTCTCCCCCATCACCAGGAGGAACCTACAAAGCATCCTTAAAGAAATAAAAATCAACATGACCTCAGAATTTACAGAGCACCTGGCCCCCCATCAGAGAAGGCCTGGCAGACCTGTCTAAGAGAACCACAGATATGGAGGACAGAATGGACCAAGTTGCCTCCACCTCCACCACTCACAAGCAGGCTATACAAGACCTTGGGACAGGTCAGGGTACTTGAAGATGCTTACGAAGACCTTAACCCACAGGGTGGGACATTTTAATTTTCTCATTCCAATCATATATCCCACCTGGTGGGACATATGAGTAGCATACAAGTTTGACGATCATACGGCTTACCCAGAGGGACATAACATAATCGGATAAAGGCAACTTGAAGAAAAACGCACCCACAAAGTGATTTCTATAAATAAATTTGGTAATTTGGTGAATGACACTGAAATTTTATCTGAGTGGGAAGGGTTAATAATTATTCCAGACAGAACATTAGTATCAAATCAGGGCTCCCTGAGTCCGTGACACTTAACACCCTCTCTGCTACCCTAAGAGAAACATTTTGTGGCCTACTCCCCAAGGCACCCCTGGCAGAATTACTCAAAGATAGAGCGCACAGGGCCCTGCATGTTCCCTCGCTCAACACCACAATGCCAAGAGATGTTAAAGTGCGTATGCACTCACGTAAAAGAAGCAATAATGCACGCGGCAAGGGATACGCCACTACATATTGATGGCCATCAAATCCAATTCTTTCAAGACCTAGCACCATGCACCCTCCTCAAGAGGAGGGAATTGCGACCTCTCACACAGGCACTCACCCAGCAGAGGATCAGCTATGCCTGGCGACACCAATTCAAACTGCTAGTTCGAAAGGACAATCAGACCTTCACAATCCACCAACCATCCAATATGCACAGATTCGTGGAACAGCTCGGCATACCCAGACTGGACACCGGCGACCCCAAAAAACAGGGGGACCCATCCTAGGGGAGATGATAGACCGTAACTATCTTGGGTATAGACACACCTCTAGCCGATTGTAACAGCCTTAGTGCCAAGGTGACTAGCAAATAGCAAGTACACATTTAAAGCAATGTATCGGGGGCTATCACTGCGGGCTCAGGTGGGTAATCTCATCCCCAATAACCACTCACTATAGCACAGCCACAAAGCGGGTTCATGGACTGAAAGATTGTGAGTCAGCTCAAATCCCATTAGACACAACCCACCTGCCCCCCAATTTGGTCCAAGTAGGTGTCATAAGTGGAAACACCCTATACCCCTGAAAAACACCCATAAAGTACTAACATCAGGCTCTCCTAACACTGGGAGTGGAACACAAACCACACCATAGCACAGATCCACACCCCCCTACCCAGGCTCGTATGGCAAGTCGGTACAATATTCATGTTAATTGTTAAATAATTCTATGTATATATTCATGTTCAATGTTGGTTCAAACTGCACTGTTGGTTCAAATGTATTGCATCTGTGGGGCTGGGAGTGCACTCACCAGACACATAGGCTCCACAACATATACTTTTAACTCTCTTTATGCACCCACCTCCCCAGATGCCATCTTTTGGAAACAATATGCGATGCACTTGATAATCTACTCCAACACTTCATTTATTATCAGCGGGACTGTAACACGGTTCACACCCCAGCAGTGGACAGACGAACGCAACACCAAATGGCAGCTCGCACAAACCGAAATGATTTTCTATTTGCACAATTCTTAGCCTCCCATAATCTACTGGACGCTTGGAGAGCACAACACCCTTCCACAAGGGACTTCACATTTTAATACCATCCACCCCCCCCCACGCCTCCTATTCTCGTATTGACCACTTCTTAATCTCACCAAGCTTACTAACACAGATCACTAAAACATCTATCGGTGCGGTCCAATCACGCCAACATCTCTCTCCATATAACCATCCCTACACCTCAAATGACCATGGAAATGGAACCTGCTACTCTTACTTGACAAACTAATTACTGCAGAAATAACCAAAGCGTTCAACGACTACTTTTAATTAAATACCTCTTTGGCAACAACCCCAATATCCCTCTGGGCAGCACACAAACAAGTCATTAGAGGACAATTGATAAGCATAGCCATGGGAAAAAAAAAAAAACAATGACGCTGTGGCCGAATTGCGCCGCTTGGAAACTAAAAACAAAAAAACCCTTTACCGACCACTTTAACCCAACTAAACGTGGTCTGAGACCTCCTAAAACAAATTACTTCCGAAACATCGAAGGCCTTGATGTGGCTCAAACAAAAATACTATGAGAAAGGGAATAAGGTGGACTCCACTTAATCGTAAACTAGAATCAGGGCCGTCTTTAACGCGGGGCAAACGGGGCAGCTGCCCCGGGCCCAGTTTCTCTTGGGGGGCCCGAGGCACCTGCCCCGTGGGCCCCGCTGACCCCGGCGGGCGGGTGGCCGGTCGGGCAGGAAGGCGGGCGCGCGAGGGAGCACTCACTGCTTCCTCTTCAGCTCCCTCGCGCACCGCACTGATACCGGAGCCGGAAGATGACGTCATCTTCCGGCGCCGGCATCCCTACGCGGCGCGCGAGGAAGCTGAAGAGGAAGCACTGAGTGCTCCCTCGCGCGCCCGCCTTCCTGCCCGACCGGCCACCCGCCCAGGAGCCCCACTGGACCCCAGGGAATAATCCCCCCCAGCACTCCAAGAGGTAAGGAGGCTGGGGGGATTAAATAAAAAAAAAAATGTGTGTTAATGTGTGTGTGTGTGTTTGTTTGTGTGTGTGTATGTGTGTGTTAGTGTGTGTGTGTGTTTGTGTGTGTTTGTGTGTGTTAGTGTGTGTGTTTGTGTGTGTTAGTGTGTGTTAGTGTGTGTGTTTGTGTGTGTTAGTGTGTGTGTTTGTGTTTGTGTGTGTTAGTGTGTGTGTTTGTGTGTGGGTGTGTGTTGGTGTGTGTGTGTTGGTGTGTGTGTTTGTGTTTGTGTGTGTTAGTGTGTGTTTGTGTGTGGGTGTGTGTGTTTGTGTTTGTGTGTGTTGGTGTGTGTTTGTGTGTGTTAGTGTGTGTGTTTGTGTGTGTTAGTGTGTGTTTGTGTTTGTGTGTTAGTGTGTGTGTTTGTGTGTTAGGTGTGTGTGTGTTTGTGTGTGTTGGTGTGTGTGTTTGTGTGTGTTGGTGTGTGTTAGTGTGTGTTAGTGTGTGTGTTTGTGTTTGTGTGTGGGTGTGTGTGTTTGTGTGTGGTGTGTGTTTGTGTGTTGGGTGTGTGTTGGTGTGTGTGTTGGGTGTGTGTGTTTGTGTTTGTGTGTGGTGTGTGTTGCTGTGGGTGTGTGTGTGTTTGTGTGTTTGTGTGGGTGTGTGTTTGTGTGTGTGTGTGTTGTGGTCAGTGTTTGTGTTGGGTGTTTGTGTGTGTGGGTGTGTGTGTTTGTGTGTTGGTGTGTGTTCGTGTTTGTGTGGTCGTGGTGTGTGTTTGTGTGTGGTCGTGTGTTGGGTCGTGGTTCCATGTGTGTTGGTGTGTGTTTGTGTTAGTGTGTATGTGTTGGTCATGTGTCAACATGTGTGTGTGTCAGTATGTCTGTCTGTCTGTGTGTCGGTATATATGTGTGTGTATATCTGTGTGTGTCAGTATGTGTATGTGTCAGTATGTCTGTCAGTGCGTCAGTATGTCTGTTAGTGCATGTGTATGCATGTGTCAGTATATCTGTCTGTGTGCCAGTATGTCTGTGTGTGTGTGTGTCAGTATATCAGTCTGTGTGTGTCAGTGTATGTGCCTGTGTGTGTGTGTCAGTATTTCTCAGTGTATGTGGGTGTCAGTATATCTGTCAGTGTGTGGGTGTCAGTATTTCTGTCAGTGTATGTGTGTCAGTATGTTGATCAGTGTATGTGTCTGTGTGTGTGTGTCAGTATGTCGGTATATGTGTCTGTGTGTCAGTATGTCTGTATATGTGCCTGTGTCAGTATGTCTGTCAGTACGTCTACCAGTGTATGTGTCTGTGTGTGTGTCAATATATGTACCTGTGTCAGTGTGTCTGTCAGTGTATGTGCCTGTTTATCTGTATGTAGTCAGTGTATGTATCTGTGTATCTGCTTGTGCGTCAGAGTGTGTACCTGTGCATCTGAGCCGCAACTTTAAATACAAATACACCCCTCCATTCAAACTTCAACACTACATATAAAACACACTCCTGCATTGAAACGTCAACACTACATACAAGCACACTCCTACATTCAAAAACAAACACTACACATAAATGCACACTTGCATTCAAACTCCAGTACCACATACAAACACATTCACACAAACATACTCCATACAAACACATGCTTACATTCAAACATACTAACATGGCTCAGTGCTAAATACAACCCTGCAAGCATGGGAAATTGGTAGAGTCCCAGCTGTCAAAGCATTGTTGGAGTTGCATGACAGATGGGGTTCTACCTTTAGTCCAACCTTGCAATTGGGGGTCCCAATAAAATTCATTCTACTTTAGTACCGCCACTGCGTTGGGATGGATGCCGTGATTGCATACCAGGGAGTGAGGGGCGAGAGCGGCAGGGCACAGGGGGCCCAAGCAAACACCTGCCCAGGGTCCATTCGTTATTAAAGACGGCCCTGACTAGAATTCAAACGGATCACGAGCATCCGCACATAGGAGGGGCACATCAGCAACCTTCCAGACTGTATAGGAGATACATTTCAACAATGCTTTATGGCACTGTACAACCACTCCCCACACTCGCATACACAGAACCCTGACAATCACTCCCCCATAACAACATTCCTAAAAAAATGAGAACTCCCAACCCTCTCAACATGAGCCAAGAGGTAATGGCAGCTGAAGGTACAACAGAGGAAATGGCGCTGGCCCTAGCCTCCATTTTCACTTCAATCAAAATGAACCTCCTCCCCAGATTCCTCTATCTTTCAGACCCTCTCATTACCTTTCCGCAAGCCAGACTTCAAAGCACTACAATCGGCAGAAGACTCATTTATCTGGCATGGACCAAACCCAGTGTCTGCAAAACAAT